TTTATTTATAATATACAAGGCCGTACCAATACGGAGAATCTTTACAGGTTTTATTGATGTTGCTAGAATTGACATTATTCGACGTCAGACGAAACAAATATCATTAACAATATGCTCACCTAAATAATATCTTCGTTTATGCTAATCAATAAAAACTTTGAAGTTTAACGATTCGAAATTTATATTTAGTTGTTAGCAAAACATTTAAAAAGGTCAAGTAAAATCTGTTTAAACTAATATGTTTGAATTACTCAAATATAAACCAACCACAACCCCATCATTTTCTTTTTTTTCATTCCGAAGGTTGCCTGGAGGGATTACTTTTAGTATTAAAGCCGCCAATTGTTTTTATAATACATACGTATATATTTTTTTGTTTTGTGTGTGCAATATAAATATTCTATCTATCTAATATAGAGGTTGCTAGGAAAACAATAAATAATGTAAAGTAAGATCTTTTTTTTTTTAAACCTACTAAATCCCTGTTTTATACGCACTACTACTTCAAAACTACTCAAAACTACTTTTAAACGGTTTTATCGTTTTTTAAGATATTATTTCATTGTTCAGGCGTTTCGGATGCTTTACAGGTAACAAAAAAGCGGGGAATTCATTAGATGGGTATGCCCGAAAGCAACTCTACAGGCATATCTGCCAGACCTTGCCACTATAACGCGGACATGTCTGGCTAGTGTGGGTCCGTTGCAGTCATCACACAGACTACTCGCGGGCATGCCCGTCTAATGAATACCCCCCTTAAGTTGTTGGTAGTCTTTTTATAATGAATAGCATAGCTACCTTACCCTACCAAACGATACTTATGGGACAAATTCACAAAACAATTTTTTTTATCTCTATATATGCTAATATTATGAGGAAATTTATTATTATGAAGAGACAGCATATGTCTATCTTTTATGGTTGACTCACAATAACACGTGTAACTCCCGATAGCTTAGCAGTTCGAAGCTTTCTGATTGTATTTGTCTACTCTTACGTTTATAACACTCTCAGTCATCCTTAATTAAAAAAGTTAAATCACGCCGAAACTACTAAACGGATTTTGATGAAATTTGGTATACAGATAGGGTATTAGCTGACTTAGATAATAGGATACTTTTGATCCCACTTAACATTTCCCTAGGGACCATGCGGGCGAAGCCGCTGGCGAAAGCTAGTTTTAAATAAAAGTTTACACGCTAGATAATTTTTCTACATTTGCCAGTAAAAAGTCTGAATTCCGATACAATCGTTGCGCTTAAAATATTCGGGACAATCCCCAAACCACGTACATTTCTGCCCGCAAACTCTCCGGGGATAGTTTAAGAGTTCTTACTGCACGGGCGGTAGTAATTCACGGGGTAAACCAGCCAAATGCGACTGTAAATATCGGATCTCTTCTCAGTTTCAAATACTAAATGTGTTTTTGTTAAAAATAAATTTAATTTGCAAAAACTTTTTTATCGTTATCTCAGTCTTGGCCAAATCAATAATAATACTAATGATTGATATATATTATTTTTATTTTCAATAACTTTATTTCCAATATGGTACTGATACTACAAATTATTTTTTTTTTATTAAGAAACCATTTTCATCTTAACCTATGGAAATCCGAGTGGGTGATATCACGGATAAAAGAAATGGTTTCGTAAATACTTCGTTGCCCTTCTTAATACAATTTTTGTTTTCGAGTTTTTATTTTATCTTCCTTTACAGAAATATAAATCACCAATCCATTCATCCCAAAAAGCTTATACTGGAAGCGTCTTGATTCATCCAAAGGAATAAGATTAAAAAAAGGGATGACAATTGGGTAAAAAAAGAAATTCTATTTAGTCGGTCCGTCATATAACAGAAAAATATTAGATACTTTTTCTACTTCAATTTAAACAAGAAATGACTAAGATAATATGCATTAAAGTTGAGGAGTGGGGGCTCGCTACGTCACAGTTTTGTAGAAAAAGTACAAAGGCGTGACATCATGCGACATTTCAACTCAATATCGCCGTAACTTATCGATTACGCAAAAAATAAAAGTATACGTATTTAATCATCTTCAATAATCTGACTAGACGGACAAACAAATAAAAATTAGTTAATAAAAACCCTATTCCGTATTGTATGCAAATCTGTGGAAAGTTAAAATATTTGTAAAAATAAATAAATTCAACTGATTAGAGTTTCGTCTTACTACGGTTGAAAATTTTAAGTATCTGTTTTTTTAAGTAACTCTATGATAACTCGATCAATCTTATTCCATATATCATATTCTTTATATTTTTTAAATTATATTATTTGTGTTATATTATTAAGACAGTAATAATACTCGTATTATTTAAAATAAATATACTGCTTCGTCCGCAAAATTTTACTAGACTGGAGTTCAAAGTTTTTGATATGATAAAGAAATTGTTCGATTGCTTTTCATTTATAAATTATATCATTCAAAAAGTTATTTGAACAAGTATTATTAGATTCGTTTATTATGGACTTATACATAGGTATAATTTGGACCTTGAAAAGAAATAAAATCTCTCAGGACCTTTGTCGTTTGTGAGGTAAAATAAAAATATATGATTCCGTGATTTTCCTCTCATTTGTTCAGATTTTACTCTCCGTAAGAACGTTCCTTAGCCATAACCACAAAATGAAAACAATAACCAAATTGATGCAATCGTTTGAGTTTTTTTTATTTGCATATGTAGTGAAATACGCTATGGGTGAAGATTTATACATATGAGTATAAATAAACTGCGTGATTTACACGTTAATTTGATATTGTATATGTGGGATAGCCTATACTTCAATTCAGGTTTAGAATTATCAATATACCAAACATTAAAATACGTTTAGTAGATTTTGTGTAAATAAGTTACAAACATGGAAACTTGTAGGTTTCCATGTTTGTAACAAACGCCGAGTCTGAAATAACACATTAGGTAACTTACTTTTATCCAACCAAAGAAACTAACACCATTACCAGACAATGAATATAGAGAAAATTTTCAAATTTATGGAAATGTATTTTGGCACGGTTGTCAAAACAAAGTTTGTATGGCAATTTAAATGCTGAATTTTATTCAGCATTCAAAAGCTTAAATTATACACCCGGATTTATTATTTTATAAATTAATACCTACCTACATAATCTATTCTGTAAATATATCTAAGTAATTATAGCAAGGAGACATTATTGTCAAAGACGTTACATGAAATCATCAAGCGATGGGTGCAAATTACATTACATATGTAAAAATTAATCTGATATGGGTCGCTAATCTAATATACAAATATTATAAATAGGTTTGATAGTTTCTTTTAGCCAAATGTGGTTAGAGATAGTATAAGGATACTTTTTGCGTTTATGTTTCTAAATAACGTGTGTTATTCATTCATTAAAGTTTCATTTGTGTTTTTATTTGATAAAGCTATCGCCCTAAAAGACAAGAAGGTAATTTTTTTAAATTACTCCATTTCGCAACACCTACCTAAAATAATTTTAATGAAAAAAGGAAACGAAAACCCCCATAAACGCCCTACAATACAAATATTTTTAATGTAACAGTTGATTATCTGGCTACGTTGATCACTTCATCTGATAACGGATGATCGAATTTTGATGAAATTCGATAGAATTTTTTTTTAATGATTCTACAGAACAGGAGTAATGTAAAGTTATTATATCAAGAAATACATATCCTAGTGGTAAAATATATTTTTTCAAATAAATGACAACCGTGAAATAAAGAATTGACCTCGTTCCTGAGATTAGATGGAGAATGTCGTGTAATGCCAATATCTGTAGGCAATAACTCCAAATTAACATTATGACGAATCACTAAGCCCTAATTATAATCTTCTTCTTCTATCTTGGAATACCTATTATATTCGAGTTTGAGATGTTCATTGAACAGACTTATTTTACTCTAATTTTATTATTTTTTGTCTCATGATATACTTTAATAAATGACACAACTATAATATTATAAAAAAACATTTAGGTATGCTACTGCGTTTTATTGGATTTTTTTAATTATTCGTTTTACATATGATAAAACGAGTGTTAAACGTTATGTTTTGGTATTTAAAACAACAAGACACCATTTACTTCCACATTATTAAAATATAATAGGTATATTCGAACAGGGTACTCTTCATTAAATAAAATCAATAATTGGAAATTTCAATGTTCAATTATTACCTGCGTACTTTATAAACACATTTAATACTGATAACCGAATAGTTTACTATTCAGTATTTAGCAAAAATTAATTGGGAGGATACTAACCGTTTCATTAAGATGATTTGAAGATTGGATTTTAAAGGAATTGATACAAGATAAAATTGCGCATGAATTGTTGTTGAAACCTTGATAGCTTTTATCTTTACCTATACGAATATAGTTTGAAACTAAAAAGAATTTTAAATTCTGATACTTTGGACTGTATGAAAATATTATTGTGGTCATTAATAATGACTTACATGAATCGACTGGACTGATGTCAGGACCATCGTGTGGTGCCAGCATCTTCATGGTGATAGCCCCGGGCAAGACGCTACTAGATACCGACACCTTGGCAATTTTCTGCCGCGATCGAACAAAGAAATAACTTTATAGTCGCTAAAATCGCGAGATTTCTCCAATAATTCGGTAGAGCCCAACAGGCTGTTGTGTCCGCGAAGTGCACTATCGATCAGCGTGGACATCACGCACGCGCGCTGCCGTCAAACCGCCCGCATGCGTGAATGGCGGCCATGTTGAAACGGAAGAACGTCATTTGACAGTTGACAGATTAAGCTTCCTCTTCCGGTGGTTAATTAATGACGTAATTCTATTTTATTTTTATTTTATCAAGACAAATAAATACGAGTATAAATGATCTACTTTTGAAAATTGACAATTTATTGGAACGATAATTACCATTGCCATTTGATAATAACTAACTAAATAACAATTTTGTTAGTTATTATTGACAGAGAAACTTCTAGTTTAATTACAAATAAGTTATTTTTAGATAGATTAACATAGTATAAATCAATGTTAAAATAGTGTTTCATCATCATAAAGAAAACTTCAACAGTTATAAATTAATTTTATTGAAAATCGTAAATAAATTTACATAAAATATTAATAAATATTACATCACGTACGAACTTTTGTGTGAGTGTATGACTGCGGCGCGCTTGTGAACGCGCCAGAATGTGTGTGTTTGTTTGTGTTTGGAGTGCGATATTTAATATCCAGCCAACTCAGCGAAGGTGGAGTCCATCTCGTCAGCCAAGCTCTTGTACCGGTCCTTGTTGATGCCCAGCTCATCTGATATACAAGCAAATATGTTAGTCTGAATCTTAATCCTTCTTTGTCCGCTACTACACAATATTAGAATGCATTGCATCATAAATATATTTAAACAGCATAATATTGCTTCGATTTCTAACTGATCTGAAGCATTAAGTTTATGAAAAAAAGAATAGCTATCGGAATCAAAAAACCGTATCGCTACCAAATTACCTTAAAATATGATGTTAATCTGATATTTGAAATGTGTATTAATAATTATGTTACGTATTTAATAATATTTATAACATCTTTTATGGCACAGGCAAATAGCTTTAAATTTTAAATTAAAGAGGATATTGATTAAAGAAAGATAGAGTACCTTTGAAGCATTGTTCCGCGACGATAGCAGCAAAGCATTAGACAAGTTAATCACAACACGAAAAGCGGGGCTCTCGTAAACAACGACGTCTGGGGAATTGTCGAGACTGTCTTTTAGGCTTTGACAATCCCACAAACATCGTGTAAAAGGTTAGGGCATGTTAATAAGAAAAGATATTTATAAGCGCACTAAAAATAATGGTGTAACTTAAAAATAATAAATATAAATCGGAGATTCAGTCGTCGTATAAAATATTGATTTGATGTTGCGGTTCGTAAGGTTCTCATATGGACTAGAGGGTTCTGTGTCGGACGGTGTTTGTCTTAAACTAAGTGCTCTAAGGGTCGGTTAGTATCCTGTGAGCTCGGCGAATGTGCCGTCCAAGTCATCGCATATCGCCTTGTATTTCTCCTTCTCGTTGAACAATGCGTCTGTAAAATGAGTCATTTCAGTTAAGCAGCAGGATGCAGAGACTCCTAAATTGAAGATTTTTAAAGTAATTTTAATTATTTTTTTATTAAATAAGCGTTTGCCACCATCAGAGAAGTAATATAATTCTCGTTGTTGTTAAATTAATTATTATTATTGTTGTTTTGCAATCACTTAACAATATTTTTTAGATTCAAATGAAGTATATTAAAAGCTTTTAATTGAAATAAAAGTTAGTGACAATGGTGTTAGCATGTGGGTAGTACCTTCGAGCCTGTCGACCTCCTTCTGCAGTTTCTTGACGGTCTTCTCGGCGAACTCGGCGCGCGCTTCCGCCTCCTTGAGTTTGCTGGTGAGGGTCTTCAGTTGCTTCTTGAACTCTTCCACGCGCTGGTTGGCCTTCTCCTCGGAGACTTCCAAGGATTTTAAGGAGTTACCTACGACCTGTTTAATGATAAATAATTATGAAACCATATTACATACAATGCTTAGATTCCAATTTTTCAAACCTTTAGTCAAATAACTAGGAAGTGTAAATTTACTATCTAGTCTATTTATATTGGTATGAATATAGTACCTTTAATTCCTCTTCAAGTTCTGAGATTTTAGCGTCACCGGACTTGACACGGTCCTCAGCTACTTCAAGTTCGTCTTCAACGAAGGCCAGCTTGCGTGAAACCTGTCATATCACATGTAATTAATTTAAGGATAAATTGTATTTAATAAGGTTTTAAAAGTCATCGACATATTACATTGATGGCGTCGATAAATAAAATCTTAGCCTAATTAAACTAGTTTTCTACCAATCTATTATTTTTACCTCGTCGGACTTGCCATCAGCGTCTTCAGCGAGCAGACGAGCTTCCTTCAGCTGGTTGGTGAGCTGGTCCATACGCTCCTCATCTTGCTGTGCCCTGTTCTCCAGTACTTTGCACATACTGTGGACAAATTAAAAAGTAAGTTACAATTTCTGAAAATATTTTTTCAAGCAGAGCAGCTAGTAATAAACAATTAACAAACCATAGAGATGTTATGACCTACGTAACTGACGAACTGAACAGTTCCTATAATATTGTTACAGTGACTATAAATGTAACAATATATAACTCAATTTATTCTATATATTTTAACTGATTATGAAAAATAATACTTTGTGATTTTATATTATTACTCTTGGTATTATCGTCAATATTTACGAGTACTAGCGTTACTTAATAGATAGAACAAAAGTATACAACAGCTTACCTATGAATTTCAGGCAGAAACATATAAAAGCTCCTATCTATTCAATGTTAACTAGCCATTATATGAGAAACAATATACTTGTATGTATATTGTACGTATTATGATTTTCCTAACGTAATCATTTGGTTTATTATCGAAAATATTTATTGCTATTCTATTTGAAATTGCATATTTCTATTATTTAAAAATACTACTTAAAACCTATTTAAAAAGTTGTGTTATGCTACAAAAAATGAAAGATTTATTTAACTGGATAATTTAAGAACTAGTTATTTAACTGGATAATTTCTATGATTGCTGTACCGGTTGTTCTCGTCAGCGGCCTGCTGGGCTTCGAGCAACTTCTGCTGTGCTGTGCCGGACCTCTCCTCGGACTTCTCCAGGTCCTCCTCAATCTGCTGCACCTTCCTGTTCAAGGCAGCAACTTCAGCCTCGGTGGCTGTAAGGGTCTTCTCCTTCTCTTCCAAGTCTTTGTTGGCCTGCTCCAGTTTGTTCTTGTTCACGACGAGATCCTCCTCGACCTGTGCGAGCTTCTTCTGGAGTTCACGGACTTCCTCGTTCACCTGTAAGGATAAACATCTTTATGATCAGACTTAAAGCATTTTTATATGCAGAATTACAAAATAAGTGGTGTTCATATATGGTTTGATGAATCATTTTACAAATAGAACAAATTTAAAATTATTATTATTTCAATATTCTAGATTTCAGTTGTACCTAATTTGGTTGTCAGTAACATTTCATTCTGACTGAGCTTAAGATTCATTTATTTTTTAGAAAAGTTAATTTCAAAATTCAAATTTTACGAGTATCTAAAAAAATCTTGTATTGTTCCTCTGATAAAGATTAATTAATAACTTGTCCTTTTTAGCTCTGTGAATTTTATATTTTAATTTTAATAGAAGCTTCGATCGACAAATGTACATTATAAAACCGATACCACCGCGATTCAGTAATAAATATGTAATTCTTATGCCGCGAACTTCTGCTTGTCGAGATGTGTACGCGTTTAAATATAATATTTTAGTGTACCTTCTCGGCGCGGAGGTTGGCATCACGAGCTTGCTGCTCGCAAGTGTCGGCCTTGTCCATGGCATTGTCCTTCTCCAGCTTCATCGCCTGCATCTTCTTCTTGATCGCGTCCATGTTGGCGGTTTTCTGTTTTTACGGTCCGGTTGAAAAATACGCCAGTTACTGGCCTGTAAACAAATAGAATACGTTTAAATTACATTTTCATTGAACTTGATCCGTTATGCATATAGTCCAAATAAGGTGTATATGGCGTGTACGCTGTATATGGCGTGCATTCCGTAAATATCTCCCATACCCCACGTGCAGACCTAATCATCGAATGAAAATCCGCCCCTCTAATAAAGGAAAGTGACACCATCGATGTATTTTCCCAACTACTTACTACAGTGTTCAGAGGAATCACTAACGATATTTTAATTTGTTCACAATTTTCTCAGTCTATATATCTTTAAAGATTTTATCTAGACGTCTAATAGATGTTACCCAAGGAGTAATTCAAAGTTTAACAGTGTTTATAATGGCTGGAACGCAATTTACAAATTTCCCAAAGGAGATAAGACACGGCAAACATTTTGAGTTCACTCAGGTGGTAACTTCATCGATTGTACTTAAGTGATATCTCTAGAGAGGCACGTATCAGATTTCAATATTGCTTTTAGTTTTAATGAATTATTTAGATTCAAACTCAATATATTTGATACTAATACTAGAAACTTTATATTTCACATCTTGAACTGCATTTTGGAAAAAACGCAACAAAGCAATGATACCAAAAATACCAAAAAAGAGACCCATGGGACCTTTCAAGGTTCGAATGTCTTCTAGAAATTATAGAAATAGCCTAAACTTTTCCCATACGTTTTCTACGGATAAAAATAATAAATCAAGCTGAAATTTGCTTTATTGCTAGACCATTCCATAACTTCGTTCGCCCCAGTATGAATGTGAAATATTATTAGGTATTATTTTTCTCTCAACTTTTCCATTTTTGTTCTCCAAAAGAACTTTCTTCCAACTTTAATAAATATGTATATTTTACGACACCTTATAGGATGTCTTTGTAGTCCTTCTGTCTGTCCGTTACGACAATACAATTATTTCGGAAACACGGGTAGATATCGAGATGATTAAAACTATTCTCAATCTCTCGAAGCTGCAGAAAAACGTATATTTCGACACTCTCAAGAGATTCAATATAAATGGGGTACTTTCCGTTAACTTAGAATTATGAAATTTAAAACATAACAGTATCAGGGTATCGTATAAAGGGTTTAGCCGGATACGTATGACGAGTCGGCCCCCAAATGGGAATCGATATTGAAACTTATGTTTTAATATCGACTTGATGTTCAAACACGATTTATGTACTTTTCGCGACCGACTTCCGCTTTGACCTTGAGATAGAGAGCAAAATATCCGTATGCTTGACTATTACTGAATGTGATATATCTCTAAAGCTAATTAAGATAAAGAAGTGAAACTAACGCGAGGTGTTAGGTTACATTACAGAGTATATCACATATATTTTTTTATAATTTTTAGAATAAAAAATTACATTAAAAAAATAAAAAATAAAAAAATCATGTTTTTTTTTCTGAGTTCTCTGTGACTTACAATCACTAAATTAATATATGTTATGCTCCTTTGTGTGCTCTATTACCCATAAAAATTGCGTGAAAAAAAAGTTGGTGCAACACAACGAAAAAAAATTATATGTGATTTCTGTCTTATGGTATACCCCTGTATTATAAGGTTTTCACATTACATCATTGTTTTTTTTTTCGAAATTTCACATCAGCTTGTTTTAAAACATAAGTAACCAGTCTTAAGAGATAGGATAATAGTTAAAAAAGAAATGAAAAAAAAACAGCCAGTGTTCAATACTTATTATTATTACTTTTTCGTGTCTATCAAAATACAAGAAACAAAATATTAATCATCGTCACTGTTGTAATTAATTACAATCGGAACACTTTAAGTCGCAAATAACTTAGTTAGGACCTAAGCAGGACGTACGATTTTGGACAAATATCATCCATATGATAGATAATAAATAATAGCTGCTACATGAGAACAGCATCCCACTGTACGTTTGCCATTGGGGCAATCATAGCAATAACGAAGAATACTATTGTAGTCATTACCTTCGGAAATATAGTGAATGTAAATTCGATAGACTTTTATATTTATATGTCTTGATTTTACTTCTGCTTTGATGATATTAGGTGCTGATTTCACATATTGTACTGAGAGATTATTTTGATCGTCCATTATTTCGGCCAAGTTAAATGCTGCACATTTAGAAGTAGAAGCTTTTTTGTTAATATATGGGATAAGTCGACACTTCTTACAAAAAATATCATTAACTATTACGATTTTATTCAAACAGTCACTAAACACTTTAGCTTCTTCTTCATTCTTTATAATTTTTTTATAACCAGGAATCTTACACAGGTACTTGTTACAATTTTTACACTTTCTCGACATTATTACTTAATAATGATTTGGTTCGATAGTTAATAATTTCAAAATGCTGATACAAAATACCTATGACAGAATTTGAGTCCCAAACTGCCTTCTTGTGTAATACAAATGACTGCTACTTTAGCTAAACAAACGATGCAGTAAACAGCTCGATAACAAGTTCGAACTTGTTTGTTTATACACTCACACTACAAGGCGCGAATCACATATAATTTTTTTTCGTTGTGTTGCACCAACTTTTTTTTCACGCAATTTTTATGGGTGATAAAGCACACAAAGGAGCATAACATATATTAATTTCGTGATTGTAAGTCACAGAGAACTCAGAAAAAAAAACATGTTTTTTTTAATTTTAATTTTTTTAATGTAATTTTTTATTCTAAAAATTATAAAAAAATATATGTGATATACTCTGTAATGTAACCTAACACCTCGCGTTAGTTTCACTTCTTTATCTTAATTAGCTTCAGAGATATATCACATTCAGTAATAGTCAAGCATACGGATATTTTGCTCTCTATCTCAAGGTCAAAGCGGAAGTCGGTCGCGAAAAGTACATAAATCGTGTTTGAACATCAAGTCTATATTAAAACATAAGTTTCAATATCGATTCCTATTTGGGGGCCGACTCGTCATACGTATCCGGCTAAACCCTTTAAGACAAAATCTGAAATCTATACATTTGTAATTGAATCATAAAAATATATAGTATTTTCGATAGAGTCGAAATTTACCGTTGAAACGCCTAATTCAAGTGATATGATATGTTATATTTCAAAACATACTTTTTATTTAATTTTCGTATAGAACACTCAGGTGCGTGTCAGACTCGATCTTGGCAGTCTTTTATTTATATATACATACGGGTATAGCGTGTAAAACATATTTATTAAGTGCTACCAGTTCACGCTTAAACTGGAAAATGTTTTTTTATGAATTTATATGAATCTAAGAGGAGGTAGAATAGGAGGTTAAATTTTGAATCAGGAAATCCACTAATTTAATAGCTTTTGATAAGAATCTCGTTGAAGAAAATACACTTCCCGATAGTTATATAATGATTGTTGTGGTTACTAATAATTAATAATAAATAAAGCGTCAGAATTTCATATCGATAGAAATAATTAGATTCATTTGCTACATTAGATTGGCCGGGAGCCAGTGGGTTAGTAACAGATGTGTTGCTGCATAATAATGATCTGGTCCGCGGCCCCGATACTAAATTATATGCCAAGCTAATTATGTCTCTACCAAGCCGGCACGATTTGCCGTCGATCTCAAAAAATTGCTCTCTTTTATGATAAATATAAATTATGTTATACAAACAAACTTTGCTATTTAAGAAGTCCAGGTAACATCTTAACTAATATTACAAAAAAGTAAAGTTTCTAACTTCATTTATTTGTTTGTAGGGCGCATAATAAACTTCGAAATTCCTTTGAAATAATTTACGAGGGTAAAGTCGTGGTAAAACAGCTAGTAATAAATATTTCGTAAGAAACATGAATTTGGTAACTGTAGCTCGATAACACATCTCTCTTTACGCCACTCTTATGACTTTCCATTTGAGTGAAAAAGAACAAATACTGTACACAACATATAAACTTTGCTTAATAATTTTGAACAGAAAAGAAAGTTCTCACATTACCGCACACGTAAGTAAGTCATTTACATGTTTTAGAATCATCACAGTTGCAGTTATATTATTATAATTTTGTTTTATATTATTTAAACCCTTTCAATATATTGTGTATATGAAATATTCTTCTTTTACGTTGTAATATTTATCATGCACATTTTAATATAACATAAAAGGGTAATATTGACATAACTAGAGACGGGTAATATGAAATTAATGAAATGATGAACGCTTTAATTTATTCCTAATCAAAGAATTAAGTTTATCATTCATCTTCATCAGTAATATATTTTTAAACTATGACGTCTCTATTTAACCTTAAAACAGAACTAGACCTTAGAAAGGTTAGCTGGTAATTGATCAGAGCGTCAAAATATAGAGGCTGAAAAGTCGAAAATCGAGAGTGGCACGCTGCGTCGAGTGATAGGGCCGAATCCTCGACGGAAACCCTCATTATACTCGCCTATATTCAAGTAAGTAAGTATTAATAAAAAATATTTTTCAAGGTTTTGGAAACGCCACTGTAATTTAATTATTCAAATCCCCTAGTAGGCACATAGATGGAATATAACTTATTTACCTGATGATTGATTTTTGTGTAAGGGGCAATGAAAAATATTAATACACGACCCGAATTCGCCCATTTATTACTAAAACAGCACAGAAGTCCATTTTGCAGCGTGCAGTAAAAATAATTTCCTTATACACACAGAAAAAGTCGAAAGCAATAATGTTTACTAAATAAACTAAATATATTGTCCTATGTTAGTGTTATCTATGTTTAAGAAATCAAATAAGTATACATGGTTATATTTAACCTTTGTAATCTGAACCACTATATAAATGAGTACGAAAACTGTTTCGCAAGTTTCAGCTTAACATAATTATGGATAGTAATTTCAGTGATGAAGGCATAGCTGAGGCGTAGGAAGATGTTTGTTTACACGTCGAAATATTGCGTAAAAAACAAAAATAACTTCACCTTTTCGTATATGTAATTAGGTTCAAACTATTATGATATTTAAAATATAATATAATATATAAAATATTGTAGGTGGAAGCGGTATAGAGAAGCAAATTAAAATACCATTAGTGCCAATATTATTTTCTACACTAAAAAGGTTTGTTTATAACATTTTTCCATATCATATGTAATCTAAGAAATATAATTATACTCATGTATACTGTAATATAATAATTTTGCTACTAATAATTTAGTTATGTACATACACACAATCTTAAGCGAAATTTAGTCTAATTCGTGCAACCACAACAGAACTGCTATCATTACGTCATTATCTAATAAAGCTGGCGTTTGAGAAAGATACTATGTAATATCACAACGACAGCATAGAAGTTTTATTTCTTAAATAAGATATTAATATACAATTGGAGGTAAACTATGAAGTTCTATTTTTTACGACAATTTAAATTACGTACTTTTATTCACATAATTTTCCCTAAAAAGTTTTAGGGAAAATTATAATTATAGATTTCTATAAATTCCCTGATGTCTGCGTTATGTATAGTTTTTTTTTTATTATGAAACTTTGTGAGATTAAGTATAAATCCCTACAGTAATATGGCGACTTTATTACATAATATACAATTTTATATAATATTCAAAACTCTGATGAAGCTCAATCTATCGCTCCAAAATAATGACATAGTACGTTGCTGTCACCGATAATGTTGACTTTCTTGACTGTCAGTGTGGTACAATCATAGAGCTATTAAACTTTTAAGAAATTTTTCTTTTTCTTACGCTTCCATTATACCTATATCATTTTTTATTTTTAAAATTCTTATGATGACAAAAGCCTGTCGGTGACCATTGCAATTTGTTATTTTACTTTAATAAGCCCATTTGGTTGTCTACTCGTATTTGTAATTGAATCGTTTAAGTTTCTTTTTTCTATGAGTTTAATTTTATAGTTCAATTATTAAAGCCTGCTGATTCCAGAATAATAACGCTTTGCTTCCTTACAGATTCTTTATTCGAGAAAACGACGTGAAAATCTGTTCGACTGTTTTTGATTTTATAGCGTCTACATTTTAAAGATATTTATAATAATGTTGTGTACCGTTATCATAGATTTTATTTATATTTATGCTAATGAGGACTAAGAGAAAAAGAACAAAATCTATACTAATATTATTAATGGTCTGATTGTTTAGAATATGCTCCGGAACTATAGGACCTTTTTTTACAAATTATTAATATTTGTTAATAGTGAATTTAACCTTATTAGAATATAATATCTGTCGACTCAGTTGATGCAGTTAACAAGCTATTCGAATATGTAAAAATAATTTTGATACAATACATATTGGTCCTTATGTTGGGTACATAAGTAATTCACATGTAAATCACTATATGCAAATATGGACCAAAACACAAAATTACCTATTACTTTCTTATCTTTTATTCCTATAGCAATTCCTTATAATGTAGCTTCCCATACGATGAAAGAATGTTCATGGTCTGATCGGTATTGATCAGTATTTTCAACGATTACCAAACAAACAATTCTTTATTACATTAGTATGTGCAATTGTATAGTCGTTTTTATGAAAAGTTAATTGGAGCCGTAAGATTTTCCTCATATATTTTCCTTAAAAACATTTAAATTGTAAAAATTCCGCATAATACGTTCCAGCCGTGTGCTTTTAAGGCTCCATAAATATTTTAATGGTATGTAAAACTAAAAACCGTCGTGTCCGGGTGTCTATAAAACGCTAGTTAAGTGTGAAAGCGCGCAATGTTCGGCTGGAGCGAAAATAACGGTCACGTGACGTCACAACTGTTCCTGGCAGTCTGTCAAGCTCGCTGATATTGTTCACAGAAATAAACCGATTTCAGTGGTGGCAACAGCTGGGCGAGTATGCGTGTAACAGAATATTCCCGCAGAATCGGATGGGCTTGTGTGTGAATACGGTGAACGAGTGATTTCTCACAACCTAGGTATATATAGTAATGAGTTGAGGTATCGCGTTTCAAAACTATAATTAAATACTTTTTTGTTTAATTCAAAACTTTAGTTGGCATTATAAACAAAAGACGTATTTAAATCGTATAATTTGCGTGTTGCATTTGGAAATCGATAATGTTAGAACATTAGATGTTTAAAATAATAAATTTAATAATAATATACACGACTATTTGAAAATCACGATGTTTCCTTATTTATTTCGAGCAACAATGTTTTCAAAGATTTTCTGCTTCTCGTTTGATTTATACATTTTGAATCGAGAAAAACTTATGAAGCAATAAAAGTAACAGCGGAAGTGATGTCAAAAATTATTCAACTCGTAAAAGTCTTACGAGTGAATGAGCAGGAATAACATCGTTACTTTTTTAAGTATATTCAAATAAACTCATATCTCCGTTTGTTATACTAGAAATTAAACCAATATTCGAGTTGCTATTCAATTCAGTTTCAAATTAAAATCACATCAATGTTTACTTACTGATAATGAATGATATTTTAAAATGAATTAAAGTTGGGCCGAAATTAAATAAATACTTTTAATAATTACCAAACTCATAAAGTAAATTTATTATAGACAAAAATGCATCAAATTGTTAAGTATCACATAAAACCAAGATATATATTACCTATTTAAAAATCTTAAATTTATAAAAAAATTAAACAGCCATTACTCCGTTACGATATTATGAGACTTATATATTGTCCAGACAGTGCATGAACTAGTAGATCCAATCCAATGTAATATTTTCTCTTCTAACCATACACAAATGTTACTGAAGTCTTTTGAAGTGGTGCCAACATTCCCCGTTTGACTGGGACTCGGTTCAGCTGGTCAACGTTGCATTTTTTATTTATTCATTTAGGAAATGTTTAGTCATTCAGTTACTTTGAGCCCTAATGAGAGTACATAAAATAATTAAAAGATCAAGGACCAATCGTATTGATTAATGTTAGCAAACTGTTGGTCAATCCAGAAACAGTTCCATAGAATCAAATTCTTTGGTTGTGGCACTATAGTAACCCTGTATGTGACGTCACCATTATGAGTGAGAATTGGATTTGAAGACAATATAGGATAAAAAAAAGTCAGCATAATTATTTTATTTTGCTTTTGAAAAATTACCTCAACGCTCTGTATAAATGCAAAGCATACATTTTCTATAAATATTTTTTTATAAATCATGGAATAAGGTTGTTTGATGAATTTTGAATCCATAATTGAAGAAAGAAAATATATATGTCATTTGTGCGGAATTTCTAACACCTTCTTTTAAAACATGTTATACAGTCTTATCCCACCACTTATAACATACGTAAAAGATGTTAATTTGCACGTAACCTATAAGACATATAAACTATTCAGTAGGACATGTCTATAACTCTTTATAGCTCCATAATGTTAAAGTTTTAGAGTTCTTCAACTTGCCTACGTAAAATGTTTTAAAGGCTCTACAATCTTTATCTTATATTAAGTTTTTTTCCTATCTCAATGAAATTGGGTTTTTTATATTGTTGGTTTTAATGTGTTTTTAGTTGGTGCATAATTTCTTTAAACGTTTTCAATGTAAAAGAAAATGATTGTCAACGTGTTGTAAAATTACTAGAATTTAATATGGACTATATAACTTATAAAAATTATAATGGAATAGTGTGTGAATACGTTATGTTACTTAACAATGTATGCAATAGTTCGTTACGCTCGTTGGTGTTCTACAATCGGTTATGACTAATGATTTATTTCTGACCATTTTTATTGCAATCATATTATTAAAATACTATGGAAATTGGAAACATATGATGAACCGTAACTATTGTACTATGTTCAATTTAATGATTTTATGAGTGTTAAGATAACAGTACCTATACATATGTATATGTAGATTTGAACTTATATTTAGAGGTATGATTACTAACGATAAATTTTGTGAACTTAATCGAAAATAGATCATGCGGAAAGTGTATGTGGCGTTCTAATTACAAGATATATGGGCCACGTCTGCGTCTATAAAAAAAAATGATACGTGTTTCCTCATCTCGCTAAATAAATACTGATGCTCGGGCATGCCGCAAATAGGTTAGATGTGAGCGCGCGACGGGGGCGGGCGGGGCTGCGTCGGCGACGGGCGGACACCACTATTTTCAGCGAGGCCACGCGCGCGCTGAAATTCGAGTCACACTCGTGGAAAGCGCCGCACTGTGCGCTATGCAAATTCCACCACCTTAAAAGCTATGTTTTCGCACACTAACCGCTAGCTTTAATATACAGTCCGATCTATATTAAAAGATTTCCTCTGAACACAAAGTAGTAGACGCTTTGATACCACCAAAACTTATCACTAGGACTGCCAGTATTCCGATTACAGCACAGAACGAGTACTCGCGTCACACACTGTCACGGCTGCGGGGTTACTCTGGTTATCGAAGCTGGTATGCGCGGGCGCACTCACCTCACGAGCGGGCTGTTCACTCGGCGGAGCGTCTCGCACTGCGCCTCCGCCCTCGGTGGCCGCACCGCGCGCCCGCCCGACTATTTTCGGTGCCAAAAATCCAGGATTCCAATCCACCATGATCGCCGTCACGCTCCCACACGCGGCCGGAGATTCGCGAGTTAATCATCTCCGGGCGATGCTAGGAGTCGATACCCATACCCTGTGTCCTTTCTGTGTCAATGTCGGGTAGGTGCACCGTTGTCTCTATACCACAGGGCGTCTTTAACTGGGTATATTTTAAAAGGAAGTGGATAAATAATATCTGTTCAACGACAGGATTCAAACCACTATAGAAAGTACTTATAAAATATTTCAATCTTGAAGTAATTAACAAAACGATAATTATTGTTAGACGGATTTCAGAAATTGGTAAAGGTACTCATGTTGGATTGCCAATTGACCTGGAGCGCGACCGCCTTACTCATGGACGTAGCCGTAGTCATAGCTTTATAACCTATGCTTTGTCGATATATCTCATGAATCTGTTTATATTCTTTTAAAATTAATTGTTTTTTTTTTAATTCATATATTTTATCAATTGAATTTCAGAATGTTTTTCTTTTCGAAATAGCATTGTTTGTTTTCTTTGACATTTTGTAAATTTCGTTTAACTTTAAGTGTTTATCAGCTAAGATCAGCTCGCGCCCCTGATTGCCCAGGACATGAATTGGTTTTTGTAATGTTTTAGGTAACCTGTTTAGTTTTTAAAGCGCCCTGACAATCTTATATATTTTAAAACCCTTGCGTTGGTTTTGCTTTTCTTATATTACTAGCACCTTAAGTTTGAGATGCGCAGTGAGGTTGTGCTGTTTTTGACGGAAGCAATAATTTGTTATAATATAAGTTAGCTTTATATCTTTAATATTTTATTTCAACTCAATTGACAATATTATTTATTAGGTACTTGAAATTTACTCTTTTATTTTTCTATTTACTTGACGTTATGTTATGACTATATTTAAAATCTATTTTTTTTTTTCAATTATATGTAATATTAAAAAACTTAGCTTAAAGACTTATGTATAAAAAAGTGCATTAAACAAACTAAGTTACTGTAAGAAAAAATAAATAACTTAACATATTAATGTTTTCAAAGAACTTCCATATTTGTTATATAAAATAATAGACCAATTATTTATCATTTTTATTATTAAACATCCACCCTTCTATTATTTTGAAAAGAAAAACTTATATAATCGCCAAATTCTCCAATAAAGTATTTAAATTTCGAATATCGATTCCCGACTTTCATTAGTAACTTTTTTTTAATTCCTCTATGGAACAATATTGACAACTTTTTACTATCAGATTATTTCATCATGATTATTTTAAACCCTACCAATATAGTTAATTTGATATAAGTCAACTAATAACAGCATTCCTCACCCGCCTTGAAAAGGCGGGTTTACAGTTGCGCGCTTCAAAATCACCGGGTCGACAGTCCGGAGAAAACCGGCCGGTGCGAGACGAGTTAAGAAAAATTTACTTTCATCTGTTTCTTGATTCTAACCACAGAATTACATTTTTATATATGAAGGTGTTCTAAGAATGTTTAGGTATATAGATAACACGTAGATTAATAAATCATAAATAAGATACTTTACCATATTAAGAGCCATCACAGTGACAAAAGTTTACCTTAGTTAGCTCTTTTGACAACGTCCTCCGAAGTTCAAGAATTAAACAAGAGAAAATATCAAGAAGAATTGGTAAAACATGTGCTTTGGTTTACTTTCCTTTTAGAACAATACTAAGGTTGCAAGGTACACTGGTACCTTTTTCTAGCCTATTATTATTCACGAAACACGATTAAACTTTTGCTAGCCCAAAACAACACAAAAACTATTCGTGATTGAAAAAAAAAGAAACAAAAAAAGATATGATTCCAAACTATGTAGTATTAACTAAGAGCCGTCTATATTCCCCAGTGCATATAACCCAGGCCTATTTAAAGCATGAGTAGGCCCTTCTGGGCAAACTTATCCTCATTCATGTCCTTGGACCAGATAGAGGTCACGAGTAAGCCCATTATAAATACAAGAAAGATCTATGCTATTCTGTAAAAAACAGCATCGAACTAGACGCCGAACACAGCGCTGTCACAGCACAGTGATTCAATAAAATACAAACTCTATTATCTTTTGAAGTAGGTTTCATTTTATTGAATTCTATTATAACATTATGCTCCACGTAAAATTCGAGACTATTTTTATAATAGAATTAATAGCAACTGTTGGCAAAAGCTTAAAGCCACTCATAATTACAATAGAAAGTCGATAGCGCAATGGCTAGCACGTTCGTTATACGCTGCAAAGTTTAAATTTTCTTTCGCAAGGGTCGGTGATATCATAGGTGACAAAAAAATATTTTTTGAGCTTCTCAACTAAAAAAATAATCTCTCGACTTTAAATACGAGTGAAGTCTAAGTGCAACACATTCAATAGTTTTATTTATTTAACTAAAGTTGGTCGATAGCTATTGTCAAAACGTTCTTAGTGTTATTCTGTATCAAGGAGGATAGTTGTGACACGAAATTAATAAAGGTTTTATTTTTTTACTATTAAATTAATAAAAAATATCTATGGTAAAAGGAGATATGAACATGGAAATGAAAAGCCAAAAATATACAAATTGATTTTTATTGTAGATTCAAACAGCGCATAGGTACACTTTAATAGTTAAGCTTTACAATAAAAGCTCTCTGAAAATGGAATGTGAAGCTTACTCGGAAGATAAATACAAAAACTAACGCTAAACAAGTACAAAACTTATGGAAATATTACAAAAAGACTCGTTATATCCTTCATAAGATTGTGTATTCGATATATTTAATCGTATTATTTATTCCGGATATTAACACTAATATAACTACCACCACTGAGGATTGTCATTTTTTTTAGACCCAGTATTAGGGACTACACTAAGATATTATAACACAAACATCCAGTTGCCTAAACGTCTATTAAAGTTCTCGTTCGTTTCATAAGCGACATTGCCGATAAAAATTTTCAAATATAGAAAATTTATTACTACCTATTTAAAGTCATCTTTAAATCTTAATGTACATTTGTACAAATTCGTGATAGCCAGATTTATGTGGAAATCATGGAAAAATAAATATTCCCACTGATATTTATTTTTCTTAAGAATTCTCCACTACTTATGAATGTCCAGTATACCAGTCAGGATTTGTAAAAAAATGACAGCCCTCACCGATAACGATATATATCAGAGTTGTTTTCTAGAATTATCCTACTAAAATAGTTTGGTTATGGTGGCGTATAAAATTGTATAAAGACGGCAGTATTGCAGTACATATGCATTAGGCTATTTTATATAAAATTTTGGTATTGAGCAACAAAACTATCACTCATATTACGCAGCATTTATCATTTCTCATTAATCTTTATTTATTAATTTCCAGCTTATTAACAGAATGGCACTTTTGACAATATTTACTTAATTTTTTGATCTGATCCTAACAAAAAATACTTTATCGGAGTAATCATATAATCACAATCACAAAGTTAATCACAAAAAAGACCCAAAGTACCTAAAATTATTTGAAACCGATAATCGTAATGATGCTAAAGCATAACTTCTTATATTCTTATAAAGAAAGGAAATATAAGAAGTGATTATAAAGCATAACAGATATTTCTTTTTAGTTTTCTCTATCAAAGATATGATTAATTTAGTTCTAAGTTGCTCTCTAGATATTTTTCATTTTTATCAACTTTTTGTATAAATTTCAAAAATTATGTCTTTTATTGTACCTAAGCAGTTTAATATTATACAAAGATCTTGAATAATTATTTAGCACTCACTATCGCCATAATAACATTTAATCCGCTTTTAAACCAAACGCAACATTCTTTGATTCACATATAAGAAACAGTCGAATGAAAGCAAAAAATAAAAATGTATAGTCTGTCATGTGGTTATTCTGTAGGTACAATTTTTTATTTCTGTATAAAAAACCTAAAGTCCTAGTAAGATTTTAATGGCGACAGTTACACGCGCCATGCTTATGCAACCTAAACTCGAGATCCAAGCAAAGAACTTCCAGCTGAACGCGATAACTTCTGTTATTTTACTGTTAAGTCTGCTACTTTTTGTAACTTATGCTTTTATATGGTTCTGCTTCGTGGAAAATCTCAAAATAACCCTAAATAAGCAATTATTTCTCATCGTCTATGATTTCATGAACTATTAACATTATTGAAAATAGCTTCTAATACATTTTAAAATGGAACTGAATCTTAAAAAATCTCGGATAGCGTCGTAGCTCGTCGTTCAGCTGCTCCACTGCCATTCGTCTGCTTACAAAATGGCGGAAGCCACCATCTTTAGTATCCAGAGAGGTCGGCGAACGTTTGATCCACTTCTTCCGCGATCGCCTTGTACTTACTCCGTTCTTCCATCACCTCGTCTGGACAGGGTTAGTAATGGGTTAGTAATCTTTTTATTCTGGGAAACGAAATGACAGGTTATTAAATGTTACTTGTTGCAAAGGATTGAAGTTTTAAACAAAACTTTGTGATTTTTGTTTCCAATCCTTACTTGTTTTATATAAAGAACAGTTTGCATAAGATTTTATATTTTTTTATTTAAACTTTAGTGCACACAGTATTTAATGCCATTAGGCATTCTCTACCAATCAACCAGATAGTTGTATGCAGATGAGCCGGTGCGAAAAGATCAACTGTATTAGATAAATATGTACGTCTTACTACAATGTAACATCCTATACAAATAAATATATACATACATATTATATAAATATACATATCTAACTAAATAATGGGTTAACCAGACGAGGATGATGAATTTAATAGATGTTCACGAGCTAATAGTTGGAAGATTTTATTTTCTGTAGGTATATTGAAAGGGAGCGCGTTCGAGAGTCGTATTGCCTGAAGAGTAAATGAGTTTGAAATAAAACCAGTTCGGCCGAAAGGGGTGAGAAGAGATAATTTGCTAAATATTGTATCTTAAGTTAATACATATATATTTGAGCCTTCAACTTAATATTGTAGACAGAACACATCGTTTTAATATGTATACTTTTAATATTATGTATAGTTCAGAAAATATAAATAATTAAAAATTTATGGAATGCGAGTCTAGTAGCATACCGGAGACGCATACTTGTCACCCTATCAACACTCCACGAAGCCTGTGAAGATCCTATTATGCTTCTGCGCTTCTGCGTGGGTTTGATTTGGCTAGAGTAATATACTTAACGAAATTTTCACGTGCAGAGGATCAATAAAGACGTCTACTAAATGCGGAAAATTCGAATTCCCATACTTTTTTTTGTACTTCCGTTTTTGGCATGTCCTAGAATTAATAGATTATATTAAGTGAGCTTTATTATCTCATATTATTTTATAATTATACTTTTTTGTTATGGCAATTAATTTAATTAAAATTAAACTCTCAATAAAAAACTGAAATTTATCCGTAGTAGAATACACGGTTATGAATTAGTTACGTTCGTATAAAATAGTTTGAATTTTCTGCAGATATTTTTTAAATGACAACTATTGATTACAAAACTTCGTCTAATAAAGAAAAATCAACTACTTAAGTTGCAGCATGCATGCAAAAACAATACATTTAAGCAGTGATCTAACTGAAATCGGTGCAAGTATAAAACTATATTTAAGTCAAAATATTGTGCAAAATTTTATATTTTTGCTTTCTTAAGCGTCGTGTAAGGGTATATATTTTATTCCTTATTTTGTATATATTCTAAATATAATAATAAAAAATCTAAATAAAAAAAATCCGTCATATTTTTCCTTCAGCCATAGTCTTGTCCATAATTTAATTTTGAACCTAATATTTACTAAAAAGGGTTAACGTAAAATGAAAACAAATAATAAGTAATAAATTATTTATTATTATATTAATCGAAAATAAATACCGCCATACATCTATGGATTGTAATACTTTAAATCAGGAGTATAAAATAGAAAATACGTCTATGGATAGTCATTGAATCGCGGCGGGTGGTCTCGCCAGATCGCCATCTACCAGCAGGATGACCTTGGGGATGACCCCGAGGATCACTCACGATCGTCATAAATTTATTCCTTGAGGATGAGCTCGACGAAGGCGGTGTCGAGGTCATCGCCGATGTCCTTGTATTTCTCCTTCTCTGCGACGAGCTCGTCTGCGATTTTTACAATCAGCATTATATATAGTATTAACGATATTATTACTTTTTACTACTTCTTACATAATATTATTTAACTAGTTTAATTTATTATTGATGTCACATTTAATTTACAGGCACAAATACACGAGTATTTAGATAAAATGAGAACTGTCAATAGTTTAAAATAGTACTATTATAACTTTTGAAAGTTCTTACATCATTTAAATTCTTGTTTACTTGTTAAAAAATATTTTCTTTAGTTATTAGTTTTATTCGACATTAAAGATACTCAATATAAATGTGAAAATCAAATTATATTCTAAAAATCAATTCAACAGTTCTAATCTATCACTAAACTTAACTAACTTGATTATATAAACTCTTACAAGTCAAGTTTCGAAGCAAATTAGTGTTTGCAGCTTTAGCAAAAGCGTTTCCAGACGATAATAATCTTCTTTTAAAACAAATTATATCATGAAACATAATTAAAAACAGAGATTAGTCTCGCCTCGAAATGCTTTTCACAAATTAATTTTAATAAGTAAGTAAATGAAAATGCTTACATGTCGGTCCTCGTTATTCCGAAGCCATGCGCTTCTGTTACCTTAAGCTAGGTTTCGATCGTAGTCATGCAGCCGTTCGTTATGTCGAGAGCAAAGAGTATGATTAGGGACAGCGTTTACTGATAAATTAAATGCACATGAAAAGCGAAGAGAACGAGCGGTCAGTGGCAGCATGTGCAGCGGTCGCAGACGCGGGCGGGCGCGGGCAGGCCGAGGTCGTCGAACGCGCAGTCCAGCTCGCCGCCGATCTCATGGAACAGCTCCTTGCCCGCGATCAGCTCGTCTGCGGATAGCGCCGCCGTCAGTCGCGTCGGCGATACGGTCTCAAACCCATGCAAGCGCCGTCTACTCTACGAGGTCGCGCGATTGAAAACACTATTCCATCAGCTATTTTATCTCCTTTATTTACAATATACAAAAAAGTGATTCCACCCGGGCGATGTTTGTGAAGTTTAACATTTTCATAACGATTAGGTTCGCGATTCGATCTACGACGCGGGAGTCGGTTCTGCGGGCGCGGCGGCCGGGGCCGCTTCCGCCGGGACGGCGGCGGCGGGGGCTTCGACCGGCGCGGGAGCGGCAGCTGCGGCCGCGGGAGGAGCTCCGACTATTTCCATTACTACTACGAGTTCGGACTCGGGGACGGGAACCGGAGCTCCAGCGGCTGGTGCGGGAGCTCCTTCGGCCGGAGGTGCCGCTGGCGGAGCACCCTCCGCTGGAGGTGCGGCCCCTTCGGCCGGAGGTGCAGCGGGAGCACCCGCCGCGGGAGCAGCCGGAGCCGCTCCTTCCACAGCGGGTGCTGCAACTGCACCGTCGGCCGCAGGCGCCGGCGCCGCACCCTCGGCGGGTGGTGCCGCAGGGACCCCTTCTGCAGGTGGAGCGGCACCTTCCGCCGAAGGAACGGCCGGAGCCCCTTCGACGGGAGGAACTGCCCCAGCTGCGGGCGGTGCAGCGCCTTCCACCGGCGGAGCGGCCCCCTCGGCCGGGACTGCTCCTGTGGCCGGGGGTGCAGCTCCGTCGGTGGGCGGCGTGGTGCCCTCTGCGGGCGGGACACCCTCGGCGGGAGGAACCCCTTCGGCAGACGGAGCCCCCTCAGCGGGGGGAGCCCCTTCGACGGGTGGTGCCCCCTCGGCGGGTGGGGCGACGTCGACGGGCGCGGTGGGCGCGGCGGGCTCGGGCACGGGTTCTGGTTCTGGCGGCGGGGGCGTGGGCTCCTTGGGTGGATGCAAACGCTCGTATTCCTTGCGAGCGGCTTCGATCTGCTTCTGCGTGGGGTCGACTCCGGGGATGAGCTCGACGAAGGACTCGTCGATGTCGTCGCCGATGTCGTTGAACCTCTCGATCTCGTTGATGAGGTCGTCTGCATCAGTCGGCGCGGTCAGCTCGGCCAGAGGGGCATGCGTTAACACGGGGCCGCTCCATGCTTCGCTAAGCTACAGGGTGTGCGGGTCCTCATGCCCCGTGCTTCGAACGATGAGTATGTACAGTGCGTCGTGGCACCCTCTCGTCGGCGCGAGTTCATATCGTTTCTTACGACCGACCGTTCGCGTTCCGATATCTCTCCACCACGTCCTCCCGTTTTCGAGTATGAGATGATGAAATATATTATTATGTAGTCGATGATAAATCGTTTGTTATAGCTGATAGAATCGATATGAAGTTAACACGAAAGGTCGTTAAAGGGATCACACGGATTAGTAAAAAAACAAACACCAATTTAAAAATAATAATATATATTTATAAACACTTGTGTTAGAATACTCTTAAAATCATTAATTTATTCTCACGAACTTACTATCAATTCATAAATCAATAACATTAAAAAACGTATCTCCGTCGCTCGAACGTTTCGTTTACAGTAAATGTATTTTATGATTGTTTGCTCTCTAGCGTCACCGCGAGCTAATTGCCAGCTCCTGCACAACGACCTGACTCGCGGGGCCTTCACCTATGATTCTGAATGATCGTTTACTCATAGATGCATTTACATAAACAACAAGACTCTTTTATGACACAATGTAAACAATACTAGAAACAAAAAAGAATATCGAATACTTCGTAGTAAATTATATTCTTATAAATATCAATATTTTACGTGTTACCATACCACTCATTAAATAAAATATCTAATCTCTTCACTAATATTAAGTAAATAAGAGTTCATTATAAATAATAGCAAACAGTGCATTAATTATTATTGCCGATATCTTCAATATTCATGTTCATTTGGACTACCTACCGACTAATATCCGACGAAATCATAAGAATAGAATCGAGTAAATATTACAAAGAGAGAGAGTTTGTTCTACGCGTTACGCAACAGAGATATGTGCATCAGCAACATGGAATGTTTCCAAAGTATCAACGGTTGAGTGCTGTTGAAGCATTTTGGTCCCATTTTGGAATGTTGGCGTTAAACCTTACAACTAGAAATGCCATAAGAAACGAGTACTATAGCTGCATTCATCATAGAACATCGATGGTTTCGACGTTACAGGCACGCTCGTAAATACAATAATGACTAATGGAATTACACATCTCTCAACGTCTTATCGGAAAATATTAGTAAAAACATTGTGTATCGAATTAAAAAAAAAAAATTGCACATGGCAGTGGTGTCTAGCGAACACTCGATCTTGACGTTACACTCAAAAAGCGGCTGGCAATTACTCTAAATCTAAAACATCTATAAGTCGCCCGCGCCCCTCGCTCGTACCGAAACAAAGTGAACAATCTCGTAATAATCAATAAATAAATATAACGGCGCGTCATCTCTCAATAGCCGACTGATTCCGGAGGGTTGAGAGATGGCGGTGGCGTGTATCGATAGAGGCGAGAGGGGCGGGCGGCGGGCGGCGGGCGGGCCCGAGACGTTCACATGTTCTGGATGTCGTGGAGCGTGGCCTCCATCTCCTCTTGCAGAAGTTTGCTCTTTTCGCGCTCGGCCACCAGATCGTCTGCAAGGTCCGACGTGGCCACGGTGAGTACACACGACAAACATCAAACATGCTTCAAACGTTCACAAAGATGAATTTGAACTTAAGATTTTTGTTGATAAGAGTAATTTGTTCATCTCTGTTATGTGAATGTTTGAAATGATAATAGGGCAAAACAACATCGAGAAATAAACCATGCGCACATAACTAGAAACAAAAACGTTGAAGGTTCGAGCATCTAGTAAGGACACATCAAATACATGCTCACGAAATAAAAAACGTTGTATACTCTGATTTGGATGCAGTATCTGTTCACTATATAACAATTTAATTAATTTACTTTTCAAAGCAAAAAAATACCTTTATTTAGATTTAATAAAGCGACTCTTGAACTGGTTCTTCAAAATTACTTGTAATGTTATACAGGGTTATTTTCTAAGACACCAAAAAATTCAAATATCTCTCATGACTAACATAATTTATTGACGACATAATTAAATTTACATAATTTACTGACGAAAATATGATTTTTAAAGATTTTTTAAGCTAATATCTCTCGCAAGCTAATGTCTCGTTGTGCATAGAGTTAACATTAGAGCTTTAAACTATTTTTTTATATGAAAGTAAAAATGTAATGAATTATTAAAATTAGTAAAACGATTTTTGTTTTGTGTTTGAGAAATAATCCTGTATATATTAAATAGTTTTAAATCCTTCATGATCTAAAATGCAAATCTTGGTTTTAGAATATGTTCAAGAATTTGTCCAGTATACGAGTATTGTCTATATTTATATTTACAAGTTACTGCAGTCAAACCATACCAAATCATTATGAGTAATATTGAAAATAAAACTAATTATTAAAAAAACTGTTACTATGAAAATAGAAAGAAGCTTGAAATTATAGCGAATGTGATAAAAGCTCTCAAATTGTACAGCATACGAAACTCAAGAAGCCAGATCTAATGACGGCTGATATGAATTTCAGTGCGATTCGTCTCAAGCTTATGTTATTTCTCAAATGGTGTTATTGTAACTTGACTTCAGAGATTTAACTTAACCAAACTGTTGCTGTACGTAGTAATATCTGCAGAACCTTGAAAACTAGCATAAAACATGTGAATATATAGGAAATGGCATTTTTCTTTATAACAACTATAACCTGTATACCAGATAATAAATCTACCCTAATTGATGTTACCAATTACTTTTTATATTGTTTATTTTAGCATTTGAATTGCTTTTAGAAATCGAAATAATGCAAATTTACCTTCAAGCCTGTCGACCTCCTTCTGGAGTTTCTGCACGGAGCGCTCGGCAAACTCGGCGCGTGCCTCAGCCTGTAATATTATTAAAATTGTGTGAACATAGTTACTTTTAGAAAACAGCCTATTTTTTAACTGCCAGCATGTTTTGCAATGAGTTCCTTATCGTTTAGAAAACAAATTGTAAAAGAAAAAGGACTTCAATATAAACGCTTTATGATTAATCATTTAGTTAAAAAAATAGTAGATAATAAAAAATAGGCTGTTTGAATGATATGTTCATGCAAAATTTATCACTCACAAATATTTGGAATATATATTAATGCAATTTTGTTTAATAATTTACTTTGAAATATACTGTAAATTTTAAATTCGTTTAGTAAAAATAAACAAATGTCTAAAAAATACTTTTAGCACGAAAAAACGAAATCATGTTAAGATATCAAAAGCATTCACAACATCATGCAATTTACCTTTACCGAAAGCAGCTTAGTGCCGCAGATGTCAGACACTACACTAATAAAACAATAGACATATTACCCATTGATATACTAAAGTACCACCACCTTAAATTATGAGCATGAAAAGGCAATTTACAGATTGCTCTGGACGCAACAGTATCGTTACAAACTTCATTACGTTTCTTAAAAAGGACACGATTCCTCCAATAAAATGGTAAATTAATTATATTGGGATGATGATTTTGGAATAATTCTAATAAATAAGAAACATTGCGACCAGAGCGGCTGTGTGTGAGCACAACTTACTTGCGTCAATTTCTGCGAGAGGCTGTGGATCTTATCCTCGACGTGCTCGCGAGACGCCATCGCCTAACCACACAGGACGAATTACTTACGGTAAGCCACCGACATGCCATGTCCACCTCGTGATTGTACTTTGCCTTACGCGAATTATAAAGACTTTTATATACCTCAAATATTACTTTTTATATGAAATAAATAAAACTATTAAAAATTATGAAAAAAAAAAACAAATGACAAGCGTACAATCACAAAACAGACAAAGTACATACATAATAGACGGAAATAAATTATACACATGTAAGAAGGAGAGACGACGTAAGTAGATACATATGAAGCACCAACCGCTGACAGCCAGTCAACTAACCTACACCGACATAATCGCCATAACCTAAGGTAAGGTCCACATAAACGGTGATAGAGATATAGATAAACGTATCTTTATAGCGAAGGATACAATTTTCCCAACAATTAATGACGATGAGCATGATCCTATTCTACAACCGTTACCAACACTATCTACGTATCTATTCCGCTTCGGCTGTCTGTTTTACCTCTTTCAGTTGTGCGTCCAGCAGTTTGACTTGACCCTCGTATGTCTCTTCTCTTTGCGTCGCCTGTGATTATTGTTTATTAACGAAAAAAAAAACATAAAACAGCGAAAACGGAAATTCCATGCAGTACGCCGTAGAGTCGCGAAGTTCTATCCTTAGTTCTTCAGCGACACTATGGCGCACTAAACGTAAACGAGTAGAAAGTGGGCTAACATTAGGTTACAATAACGGTAACTGTTAAAGAAAAGAACAAACACGGCAGCCAAATTAAGAATAAGTCAGTGGAAAAAACGGCAAATAAGACGCACTACGTGTTGTGCCTTTTGTACCACTCCTTTGCATTAGTGATGGTAGAATAGACACAGTTGCTACGCTAGAGGGTATGTACATCAGAATGCAAGTTAGGCAAGCGCACGATAACACTCGCGTAAATGAACCAATCTCGTTCGTGTCACACCTCCTTTAGGCGGGTGGTGAGGGTTTTGATCTGATTTTTGTACTCCTCCTCACGTTGGTTGGCCTGCGTAGAATTGGACATACTAGATTAACTTCTAGAAGTTAATTCTGCCATATAGAAATACTAATATTGGATTGCGCTTTATCTAAATAGTTGCGCATTAAAAAATTGAAATGGAAATTGTCACAAAACTCAAAGAAAATATTCCTATTCTGTTCGAAAGTACATGGTTGGTGCATCATCAATTGCAATTTAAATTTTGATATTATGTCATAAAATAAAAATATTCACATTTTCACAATTTTTTATATCCATATAGTCTAGGCTTCTGATAGCTCTCAAACCTTAGCTATATTTTAATAACTAGCTCATCTTTTTATTCAACACAAATTAATCAAATATACCTTTTCCTCGGAGACTTCCAGGGACTTCAGGTTGTTGCCAACAACACGCAATTCTTCCTCAAGTTCTACGATTTTGCTGGAAATGATTAAAAGGGCACAATCAATTTCATCTGTTTACAATTACACAGTTAATATTTTTCAATAATTATTACTGCTAGTTGAGATTAAAACACGATATTATATACAGATTCTTCGAAAGGAACTTGAATTAAATTTATTACATCACAAATAGTCACAAATACACAAATTGGTCCGTCAAATTTCGAAGGGGCTTTTAAATCAATATTAGTTGAAAGGTTCGATTGATGACCTAAATACTTGTCAAATTGATCAGTTACTGTGACTATAGTGCAATACTAATAAAGAATAAAGCTTGTGCCGGTTGTTAAGTTTGTTTTTATAACTAAATGGTCTTTGTTGATAGTTGTCAATAAACTCTAACTTCTAACATTATGGTTTTCAATTGATCCAACTATCAACAAAATAGCATGCAAGATGTTACCATTTTGGTGACGAAGCCGCTATCGATTTTTATTATCTTATTTTAATCTTGATGAAAACGTCTTCGTCATTAATCTAACTTACATTATACTCCTCAAGGAAATAATTAAGTACCGTTCAGATCGCACTTATATTAATGCACACTACACTTTCTCTTGTTCATGAACAGGTACTAAAGCATGAAATTACGGCCGTGGTCCAATGCATAGCTTTATAATTCGTTACACTGTGTAGAATATGTAAAATAATCTGTCACTGATAATTAATTTCTTTAGCATAAATGATAAAAAATGGATTCAAGGAATAATATAACAATTCTTATTGAAATATCAAAACGAAAACTCTCTGTGATAGCTAATCCTGTACGACATTTATAAAGAAACGATAGTCATATTCTTAATTCATTGCAGTTTCGTGTTATTTCATTTTACTTTGTCCATTATGTAATGCAATGTATTCCAGACAGAGCAACGTTAAGACTGTTTCAATTCAAGGAAAATCTTTAACATAAGAAAGATTTCCCTTTAATCGGTGCTTATACTTACCCATCGCTGAGCTCGGCGCGCTCCTCGGCCCGCTCGAGGTCCTGCTCCATCATGACGAGCTTGCGCGCCACCTACCGCCGGCCGAGCGTTAGTACACGCCCACACGCACACACACACACACAACACACACTACGCTACTGAGACGGGCGCCGCTCTCGAATGCTTCAACAGGTGCGAGTGCTTACTGGTTTATTTTACGCCTCGGTGGTAGGACATTGATCAGTTAAGTGTGCAAAGGTTGTGTCAGGAACATGTGGATGGAGAGGATGCCGATACGGCATGTTTTAAAATTATATCACGCGTTATCGATACGTCCACTGCTGATTCATATCAACACACAACGGTATTGGTCGGAATGTGTCTCCACCGGGCGGCTTTAGAGTACATCTAAGGAAGCACAGGTGTTATATTCAAAACAAAAGAACAAACATTAAATTCAAAAGGATCACACAAAGCAGGAAATCGGGAGCGGCGTCAGTGCTCATATATAATAAAAAAATATATAATAAACGAGGGTTGTCCCAAAACATTTAGCTATAAAATTTACGTTTCGAAATCAATTAAAAATCTAAGTGCTATTTAGTGCATTATCATAATCGTTATGTGATGTGTGCGCTTGCATATGTGCGGCACGCATACGGCCAGTAATTCTGGTGTAATGCGGTGCATATCTGAAAACGAAAATTGCCCTATACCACACATATTTCCTGACAGCCTAACTTAATAGCCACGTTAAATGGTACACACATGAAAGACAGAAGTTTAGTCGACACATGGACATGATAGTTAACATTTGCATAGAAATATCCATGAGATGGGGCAACCCTTGTTTTAGTCTGAACCACTGAAAGAACAGCGCCACATTGTTCTGTTAAAGAGATCTACAGTGGCATTGCTCTATAAGTATTATAAAAATAAATGTTGTCACAGTTTCCAAAAGAAGTAAAACGGTAACAACTAAATCAATGTTATGGCGGATGCAAAATTTAATTTAATTTAATAAAACGAAAACACCGTCACAGCTTCTCTCGTAAACAACCTAGAATGGACATGCAATAAAAATATAAGTGAGAGACAATGTTAGAAACACCAATGTAGGTAAATCAGGTTACGGTGCAGCTATGTTAAGAATGCAAATGAACGACCATGCAGAACGGAGGCAAAATCTAGCAAACAGGGCTTTAGGACTAACTTGCTACTACTCATTATTGAATAACTTGCCGTAACAAAAACGTCTTAATAATGAATCTCGTGAGACTGTCAAAGCTTTTATCTCATTTCTGTCAGTATAAGGTCCAATAATGAGAGTATCAGTAATCCTTCATTGAAATTGGAGAGAAACCTACGATTCACCGGCCTCGGCACGCTCCTCCGCGCGCTCCAGGTCAGCCTCAACCATGGCCAGCTTACGAGCCACCTGAAGACACCACACCACATTAGACAACCAAACTCAGGTTTAACATCAATTAGTGTCACGGACTACAAAACATCGAACAGCTGCTATAATAGTACACGATACTCTTAAGCAACTCGAGCTACACCCTTCGTATATGGAAGTAATGCTTATGTAACAACATATATGCGACGAAGGAGACTGGTTCTGCCTTATAAGGTGATCGGACCAAGATCAGTCGATACGACTCCTTGTTGGGATTCTGACTTTTACGGCTGCCTTCACCACACAGGGTCATATGTCAGGGGAATTGGGACATTTTAACTTCGACCATATGGTATCAGGTTTAATTACACCTTTTATTACCTACAGCTTTAACATAAACTGTAAATGCTTGGCGGAAAACGTTATTATTATCTAATCTTAGTTTGATAAATTATTATTTTGGTGATATTTCACGATTTCTTCGTTGTCGAACAAAATCATGTTGACAACAAACGTCTTAAATTCTAAAAATAACTATGTAGTTATTCAATGCAGGAAAACAAGTGTTAGTTGCATAAACGACGCTTAAACTTTTAACAAAATTAGTAGCGCGCAGTCTTATAATGTATATTATTATATTAATCAAAACATAATTATAATATTTCATATGGAAATCACAATAATATTTAATATTTTTTTCGGTAAATAATTTTTAACTGTGAAGCTTTCAAAAGAATTATTATACACAACTAAGAAACTATTAGGAGTATGCGTCAATCGCTTATAATAGCTATAGGACTCGTTTGAAGGGAAACCAACTTCCATCGTTTTATTAGTTATGTATGAAGAGATCATCATGATAATTGGTACGAGCAAACCATGCCAAACCAAACAACATCGAAACTCCTTTATAAAGACCTCATCGTATTTCTTGTCGGCTTCTTCAGCAAGGAATCTGGCTTCCTTGAGCTGGTTCTCCAAGGCGTCCATGCGTTCCTCATCAGCCAACGACCTGTTCTCGAGGACCTTGCGGGCACTGGATCCCATAACATAAACCTTAAGTAAAAATATCGACAACAAACCGCCCCTACCTACAATACTGTTCACCTAAGTTCCGTTTGTAACCGCAAGGGTGACCCAAAGTTAGAAAACATGCAAGAAACGAATACACATCATTTGCAAGGAACCAAAAGCAACAAACACTTGAAGATATCACGATAAGCTGCTGTGAAAAAAGTCATTATGTACGAGTACTCACAATTGGATTTCAAATACAAACATAAGCAATGCTCATTTGCATATTTATATTTGTATTTTAAGGCGTTTTGTTTTAGCCACTAAATATTTCAGTATACTCAACCACGGTTATTTATAGTTATGTAATATTTAGTGCTTAAGATGACGTTAGAAATAAATTTTAATGGACTAATTCATTTATTTACAATATAAAATTCAATCTCAAAAACTAATCGATTTCTAATCGCCATTCGCCACATTAACTAAAATATGTAGAACTATTCACTGTAATGTTTAATGTTTCCTGTAAAGTTATCGCTTAGCAATATTTATAAATTACAAGAATATAACGATATTACAATGAATAGTCCGAGAATTTACACAAAATGGTACTGCTTTATCGACAAAGTCTTATAAGTCAATAGATTTTCAAAACTCTCGATTCCAATTTCAAAAATTTGAAAAGATGAAGCAGTACCATCGCTAATAAAGATGTAAGTGACAATGTAGAAGCGTTCACCTCTTCGTATTTTTTGTCGGATTCTTCGGCAATAAGTTTGGCCTGCGCGAGTTGTGCCTCCAAGATCGCGACGCGGTCGTCTTCCATGTTGGTTCTGTTCTCCAACGCCTTGCGTATTCTGGTTAGTGTAGGGCCAAACACATGCTTGTTATAACATCGAACTGCCATAATAAAGTTTTTTTGGGAAAATAATGATGATATGAATCTACACTAATTTTTATAGGTAATTGTAGTTATAATCTATTTAATGTAAATATAAAAGTACTGTTACAAATAAATAAAGCTTAGGAAACAAAAACCAAAAAGTGTTTTTTCGACAGTTATGGTATTAAGGCAAAATAAAAACACTCATGCAAAGGGTTTAGTAGTAACAAAAACGAAATTTTAGTATTTTTTTTGAAAATCACAATATTACAACAATATTTTAGAAACACTAAATGTACGGTATTAATACTACGAATAACTAAAGATTTGAAAGATATCATCAGCAAAACTGATTACTTTATTTTGATCTATCATTGGATAATAAATATAGCATGAAATTTTTTTAAGATTGAACTAAAGTATTAAATTTCATCATACTGGAAAAGAAGTTTACATACACCCTTTAATTTAAACCCAAACTAGGCAGGGCAATATGGACGGTCAATCCAGGGTATCACCATTTTGGAAAATAACACCAGAGACAATTCACGATAATTTGAAAAATGGTCACCAGATTTCAATACAACTTCTTTAAGTTGAGAAAAATGTCATCAAATTCATCGTAAAATTTTCAGCAGAATTGTCTTTCGTACTAGTTATTCCAATTATTAACTGCTAATGGAACTATTTGGCCTATAATTCAGGAGGGACTCACCGTTCCGACTCATCGGCAGCCTGGCTGGCCTCAGCCAACTTGGCGGTGGCGGTGGCGAGACGCTCCTCTGACCTCTCCAGGTCTTCTTCCAGCAGTTGGATGCGTCGGTTTAGGGCAGCCACTTCTGACTCGGCCTATGAAGAAGGTATCAATAATAAAATCAAACTCCATATTCCACAACATTTTTCTAATGCACGCTACAATAATATACTTTAAGCCGATTACTGAATTGAGGATTTATAGTTAAGCAAGCCTCAATCCATACTTAAACCATCTTAAATGTCACTGAAATTGGTTTTCGTTTCTCATTTTAATTTTTTAATGATCAGTTGGCAGCCGTTTGATAGAATAAGGCCTTTTTACCATATAAAACGTTAAAGACTTAGGTTGTTGAAAATAATCAGTTGACATTTTGTACTTTTCTCAATTTTGAAACCGGCCGTATGTATCTTTATCCTTTCTCTATCGTAAATAAAATTTCTGAAAGGTTTGTCACTTAATGAAAAAAAAACCTTTATTCTAAATAATTCAACGAACGTATAAAAGAACTTGTCTTATGTATGCAAGTTTTATAAAACATTCCTCTATCACTGCACAAACGCTCCATTCATCCTGAAAGCTTCAACAGTTCAAAGACGTGGCTCCCTACATAAATGACGTTCTTACCCACAATTAATAACATTCTTATTTATCTATATAAAGATTTAAATTAGTTATGCAACAAAAAAAATGCTTTATTAACAACTCTGATTACTAATTACGAGTACGACCTCAATTGTCAATAATTACATGTTACCTCATTAGTGTGTTCACAATTAATTCATTTATTGGCTACTTGGTACATTCCGTTGAAAATTATTTTCCTTACCACCGAATGTTTTAAAACCTTTGAACTTTTTGATAAGATCATTCAGATCGAGACGTATAATAATCAATGAGTACCTCATAACGAACGGCATTCATATGGCATTGCGTGGTCATAATACAAGTGTTTTCACAATGCCTAACTCAAAGAGTGGGAATGTTTTTGTACGTACACATCCCAAAATAGACGGTCATCGCTCATCATTTAAAAGGTTTTACTAATTGCTTCCATTTGCACTGAATCTTACTCCATGAATTCATTATTTAATTCAAGCAAACGGTTGGTATTGTACTACTAATAAATAAATAAAATTATGTCATTCATTACAAATGAATTTAACGAAGAAACAAATTTAAAAAAATAGTGTTGCTATGACGGCCATATTTTTATCGACTCTTTTACCAAAACCGTTGCTCACTAAGGTTTCGAACAATGTAAATGCCTTATATAAGTGGCATTGTGAACAGTCGAAAACAAGAAACGTGCCGTGAATCTAACGCCCATCGGAATATTTTACATTGGTTTATTTATATTCCACAGATCGTGCATGTTGATGACATCACGCGTCCTTGTCGCAAGGAGCGCTCATAAACGAGTCCTAGTTACTCCTGCTTTTATCCTGTAACGTCATCAGTGCGTGGATGCTAATAATAGTCGTGAGTGGACTAGTGATTTGCACTATCATTTGTATCGTTACCGATTACAATAACTTAGCGGTAACTAACATAATCGATATCTGAATCATGTGAAAGAATTATTTTATAATTAATTTAAGGACTCTGGAAATACGATGAATTATTGAATTGGTAGATTACCTCAAACATTATTCTAAGTCCAACCACCTTGAACTTGTAGAGCATAATCCAAACTGACGTGTAAGGCTATTTTAGCGTTAGAAGCCAGTTAAGCCTCTTATACGAGAGGTTAAAGACCTTACTGATGTCGAATTTAAAAATCAATGGAGAATGCGCATATCCACTCATCGTTGTCCATGAATGGAAACTATTTAAAAGTTACACCTGATAGTATAATGCAATTCCCGTTCATGGATCACCGAAATGCATTGTTTACTTATTGTGGGATCGGTACAGAGTCATATTGTGTTCATTGAATGGCCGTTTACTACAATAACAAGCCATGTAGTAAACTATTAATAATACTTAAAGGGCTTGTCTGCATGGGTGTATTGTCAGGTAAACAGGACACTAAATCGAAGGACCAAAGTTGTAAGTTGTACGTTAAAAATGTATTATGCTAAAACCAATGTCCTATTTGCTTAAAACGCTATATGTATTACAATAAAAATTAGATATGCATCATTGATTTGTAATTTTATTAAAAGTGGGTAACGAATAACATTTAACCAAAAATAATTACGTGAACCATTTCGACTGGTTCTTATCGCACTTCTAATTTGTCTTTATTGTATTTGATTATGTAGGTGCTACAATCATATAACTAAGAATTATTATAATTCTTCTTAGTTTACATCTTAGTTTACATCAATTAGTTGTTTACTTTACGGTTTTCGTGTTTCGATTTATTGTACCGTTCCGTTTTGGTTTTTAATTTTTCTTTAGGCAAAGTTCAATAGATATTTGATCTTTACAATACGTAGGTGTATATTTGTGAACACCCACATTATTTAAGTTTATTTAGAATTATATCTTGTATATGTTAATTGATCTTCTTTCAGTTCGCAACATTTAGTCTAATATGAAGCTCTCTTTGCCGTTGGTATAAAATAATCATTAATGGTATTACTTCCACTTTTAACATTATCATGAGCAACAACTCTTATCGCTTGATACGAGTAATATGATAAAGTAGAATCAAGTGATATAAAGAAGCAAGAGAGTATATATAACTCCGTTCTAGTTATTCCTCATAAAGTAACATTAAAAATATTTTTAAGTCATTAATGTTGTTATAATATAAAGTAGACAAGCACACATAAGTGTTCGCGTTCGCAAGGGCATGCTACCGTGTTGGGTTACGTCATGTGGCGATAACGGCTAGGAACTCGGACACGCCTTCACGGCGCCAGCGGTCCTTCGAGGACGTCCGAGCAACAGGAATGCATTGAGGGTGTTAAGCCTTTATGGACCCGGCCGGCTCGCTCTACATGTGCCACAATAGACCGGTACACGACCTCCAACGCAACCAAACCTGTTACGTGTAACAGAAACCGCCACCCTACCACGAGCCCGATTCTTCTTTAATCATGCATTTTACGAAATCATTCGAACCTTCTACCGACCCGTCACAAACTGTTTAAAAAGTCCTAATTTATGAACAATACTAGAATCCTCAATCGAAAGAAACACACTGTGAAGAGAATAATTATTCTCTCTCTCGCTCTATACTACCGAGACGAGATGAATTCGAAAGAGAGGCGAATATGCGTACGTTGCCTGCACACCTAAGTATGGCCGGACATTACTCACTATAGGTAGATAGTACGAGCCTACTGATAACTCGCTTATTTTAATCCGGTTCGAATTTAACACAAAACCAATTCCACTTATATCGACACAGCACAACACAAATATATTGCACGTTTTCTTACTTCTTCTCTCCGCATTATTTCCACTTGTAATCGTTTGTGGTACTCCTCGCACTCGTCCTTATATTTCTCCATTTCCTCTTTTGTTTGGCGCATTTTCTTCTTCAAAACGTCCAAAATCGTTCCTTGCTGCATATTTGTCGTCATTTTTATGCACTTTTATGTTTTATTCGAATGCCTAAATGCTAAAAACTAAAGACACTTCGCCCTAGTCGCGAAAACGCCAACTGACTGGCTCGTTAGTGCTCCGAATCGCGAGATGGGCACGGCACGAATGAACACAGCCGGCGGATAAAATGGCCGCCGACAATTTACACGCTGCACCTTTGACCAAGTAATATCAACACAGTCCTTCGTTACGTGACAGATGACAACTAATATTTTATTACCAATACAATTAACACACTACAAAAGACAAAACAAATTTTCTAATGATTAAATCGCGCATTCTCAAGTGACTTTGACAGCGTGTTGAGCGAATGACCTAAACGTCACACACTTCACGACGCAAAGCGCACAAATCGAATGCGCAAGTAACTCCACCTGTTAACACTGAACGAAAACTGGAGACCCTATCGAAAGTCAGAACAACCAAATTATGGGATGGGTGACACGGTTGAACTAGTTTATACAAAAAACACTACGGAAGTACAGCATTTATGTTATTAACAACGAAGGATTGTTAATGGATGTTACACATACACACTATGGGAAAATTTCCCATAAGATAATAAAGTTTATAAAATATTTTATTATAATTTTAATTGATAATAAGCATATTTTTTGAACATACAAAAATGCAGGCTCATCAAATTTTGATTAAAAACTAATAAAAGTCACGTTTGTAGCGTCATCTAGTGCAATACGATGAAATTATGTTGTAAATAGTAACATACATACAAATGTAATAAAGATTTTAAGTCCGGTCACGCGCGTTTAATTAGTGTAGGCTCTTGGATCAGAAAAAACTATCATTTTTATTATTTTTCTATAAACAATTTTTTTATTGTGCAAAACGTGACAAGTTAATTTTGATGTTTCTTTCTTCATCGATATCTGTCTCAATATAATGAAAAATTTATTTTTTAGTCATGTAACAAACGGCATTGAGATACATCGTATCTAATTACAGATTATCATTTAGCTAGATCGAAACAACCCTTAAATTTCTCCTAACCTTATGACCTAATTCTTTATTTGGACCAACACCCTGTGACTTTTATTTTAGTCTTTTATTATAATTTTGAATTGAATTGATTATTTAAAGCAGAACAATTTAAAACAGTTATACCTAATCAATTAGATTATTAAATATAAGATTCCAAACCAAATTCGATTTCAAAAAAGCCGAAATATAATTATTTGTACTGTAAAGGCGTAAAGTTTTTTTTTTAATTAGGGGACGTATTTGCTGACTATTATTTTAACTTGAAATTAAATTTCTTAAAGATTTCTACCGCTTTAATGGTATTACAACTTATTTTTCTATCTTTTTAAAATAGCTTTTAAATTTTTTGTAATAAAATCAATTTTAGTTTTAGAATTCCTAAGACTAAGACAACATTGATATCACTTAAACACCATAGTTCTACAAATTATATTTGACATAAAAAAAAGTACTTATCGGATTTTGATAAAATTTAAATCAAATTTAAAAAGAATCATCCAATATTGACGAAGATATCGAGAAACGTCTTTAAAAT